CCGGGCGGCGGCTCCGCGGCGGCCCGCGGCCACCATGCTGGGCCTGGACGCGTGCGAGCTGGGGGCGCAGCTACTGGAGCTGCTCCGGCTGGCGCTGTGCGCCCGAGGTGAGCGGCGGGCAGCGGCCACGTGGGCGGGGGCCGCGGGTGGGGGGCGAGCGGGGCAGCCCTCCCCCGCCGCAACTTAGGGGGCGCGCGGGGACCTCTAGGCAAGATCCCAGCTGGTTCTGGCTGGGGTGCGGTCTTCGTTCAGGCGCGACCCTCACAGGAAAGGCAGCCAAGAGTACAAGAGCACGCGGAGCTCGATGAAGCCAGGGAGGCAGGGGCCTCTGCCCCTGGAGGGGAGATCAGTCCCTAAGACTAAAGCGCAGTGGACAGGGCACAGAGCCTGGGGGCTCATGGAAGGGGCCTGGCATCACCACGATATAGCAGTGGCTCCCAGCCTTGGGCTGTCCCCCACTAGAAGTCTTCATTCCTGTACCTTTGGCCTCAGAGTCAGGGTGGGGCCTTGGGTGGACGGCTGGTACCTCCAAGGATCTCACTTGGGTGGAACCCTTGGGAACTGCTGCCAGCTTCCAGGGCCCCTCTGGAGACGCCCCCTTGCTTTCCCTGCCCATCCTCTCCCTTAGCCCCAGTGTCTTGTTTTTAGTTCTTTTGGGCAGTGGTAGGCACAACTGGCAAGATGTTGTGTGTGGGGGGTCTCCAGTTTGGTACCGGAATGCCACAGTCTGCTGGTGGCAACTGCTCATGGACCTTTCCCAACTGCCAGTCCTCCTGGCTGACAAGGAGGGTGGGCCAGCACCAGTGGACGAGGCCCTGGATGAGGCTGTGCCTGAGTACCAGGCACCAGGGAAGAAGAGCATGCTGGAGATTCAGCAGCTGGACCCAGAGGATGAGAGCCTGGCCAAGTACAAGCAGGCGCTGCTGGGGCCCCTGCCACCTCTTATGGGTATGGCTGGGCCTGGGCCTGGAGGGCAGTGAGCAGGTGGAGGGAAGGGGCAGGCTGGGCAGACCAGGTAGGGCATCCTGTGGACACTGTTTCTCCTCAGACCCAAGCCTGCCCAACGTGCAGGTGACCAGACTGACACTGATGTCTGAGCAGGCTCCGGGGCCCATCGCCATGGACCTCACAGGTAGCTCTCCTCTGCAGCCCACATCCCATCTTTGGAGTAGAGACCTCTTAGGAACTCCATGCCCATCCAGAGTCCTCAAACCCATCACCAAGGACCTTGTGGGCACCATTCCCCATGGGGTTTCCTGGGCAGGGTCTCAGCCCATCCCAAATTCACACCAGTCCCATTGTTTCCCTACCAGGGGACCTTGCTGCACTGAAAAACCAGGTGTTTGTCCTAAAGGAAGGTGTTGACTACCAAGTGAAGATTACCTTTAAGGTAAGGGCAGCTGTAGTGGTGGCAGGGGGATGGCAACCAGCTATGGCCCAGTCCCCCACAGGAACCCCTTAACATGCTCCATCCCCTAGGTCAACAAGGACATTGTCAGTGGTCTCAAGTGTCTGCACCATACCTACTGCCGGGGCCTGCGCGGTGAGGGCAGTGTGGAGGGCAGCCTGGGGGTTGGGGGATGGCAGGCAGAGGGTAGCGCCTGACACCCTCCCCTCCCCCAGTGGACAAGGCCGTCTATATGGTGGGAAGTTATGGCCCCAGAGCCCAGGAGTATGAATTTGTGACGCCGGTGGAGGAGGCACCAAGGGGCATGCTGGTGCGGGGACCCTATGTCGTCAGGTCCCTCTTCACTGATGATGACAGGACCAACCACCTGTCCTGGGAGTGGGGCCTCCACATCTGCCAGGACTGGAAGGACTGACCACCCCCACTTGGGCCTCTTGTCCCCCACCTGTCAGCTGCTGCAAGGAGCCCCACGCATTGCCCACCCCCTTGGTCAGTGACCCCCGTAAGTCCCTTGGCTCTGTGCCCTGACTCCCATTAAAGGTCGCCCTGCCTTGCTGCCCTTTGTGTTGCCTTTTTCTGCCTCTTCCTCCCTCCAGGGGGTGCCTTTCAGCTTTATCTTTCCTGAGAGGGGCCAGGGTGCCACGTGTCGATTACTGCTTGGTCCCTTGTTCCTTTATCTGCTCCAGTCTTTGGAGCCCGGCACTGCCATGAACAACCAGCTCCTGACTGTGCTGCTGCTCCTGCTGGGGGTCTCAGGCCCCTGGGGACAGGGACAGGCTCCACAAGGTCCCTTGGAGGACCTCCCAGAGGAGCCACCTGGGGAGGAAGTTCCCAAAGAGGATGGGGTTTTGGTGCTGAGCGGCCGCACCCTGAGCCTGGCATTGCAGGAACACCAGGCCCTGCTGGTGGAGTTCTGTGAGTTTTGGGGCTTGGGTGCTGGAACCACAGGGACCTCTTGGGCTTGAGCCTTATGCTACTCTGCCTCATGAACCCCAGGGTCTCCACAAGGGCTGTGGAACAGGGAGCCTTGGCTAGAGCTGGACCTGGAGTGGACAGATCTAGGTAGGGGTGGTAGTCAGGAAGGATGTTCCAGGTGACATGAGAAAACCTATGCCCCTGTGCTTGGACAACTGTAGCTGTGTGGTGATATCATTACCTTGGGGGTGACATTTCCACACTGCTGGTAGTGTGGTCTTTCTGCACACTGTGCAAAGGCCAAGTGCAAAGGCACAGTGTCCAGGCTGTATGGCCATATAGGTCCTTATGCTGTGTGTCTTCTCTGTTTTTCCTTTTTCAGTACTGGAGAGTAAACTCAGAACCTTTATGCTGAGCTAGGCTTTTTGAAATTTTGAGACCTAAGTGCCTAAATTGCCTAGACTGGGCTCCTACTTGCAATCTTTTTGCTTCAGCCTCTCAAAGTTCTGGGATTACAGGTGTGCACCCCTATGCCCAGCCTCTAGGTCTCCTCTGATTCCAAATAAATTTTAAGATTGTGTTCGCTGGCACATGTATAATACTTTATAAATGTCAAAGTCTTTCCTGGCTGGCAGGCCTTACAGGTAGCCACATATGGCCCAGGAGGCCCAGAAAGGAAGCTCCTTGATTTCTTCCAAACCTTATTGTTCTTTGTGCCCCAATCAATTCTGGTGCCCAGCCTCAGTTGTGGTCAAGCGGTCCCTGAAGGAAATTGTGAGCAACACAGGCTTGCTCCTCACTAGGCCTGTGGGGAGGGACTGCGGTTGGGGCCCTAGAGGCCTGGCATACTCATGGCCTCATCCTCTAGATGCCCCATGGTGTGGGCACTGCCAGGCGCTGGCCCCTGAGTACAGCAAAGCAGCCACTCTGCTGGCAGCTGAGTCAGCCCCAGTTACACTGGCCAAGGTGGATGGGCCTGCAGAGCCAGAGCTGATGAAGGAGTTTGGTGTGACAGAGTACCCCACTCTCAAGTTCTTCCAAGATGGGAACCGCACACACCCTGAGGAGTACACAGGTGTGGGTGAACCCGGTGTAGCCTAGGGTGGGGCATGGTGGAAAGGGATTAGGCCTAGGCTGAGGGGACTCTCCACAGGACCCCAGGAAGCTGAAGGCATTGCTGAATGGCTAAGGCGACGGGTGGGGCCCAGTGCTGCACACCTCAAGGATGAAAAAGACACTGAGGCACTGATGGATGCCTGGGATGTGGTGGTCATTGGCTTCTTCCAGGTAAGAAAGGGTGTGGGGGACTGGGCCTTGGAGCAGTACTTGTGGCATCCACCCACCTCACAGGGCTGAGTCTACAGGACCTTCAGGATGAGGATGTGGCCACCTTCCTGGCCCTGGCCCGGGATGCTGTCGACATAACTTTTGGTCTCACTGACCAACCACAGCTTTTTCAGAAGTTTGGCCTCACCAAAGACACAGTGGTCCTCTTTAAGAAGGTGGGTCAGGGCTGAGGTGGGGGCCGGAGTCAGTGCCACAGCTTTTTTTTTGGCAGTACTGGGGATTGAACTCAGGACCCTGAGCTTGCCAGGCAGGCACTTGCTTATTCTACTGAGCTATCTCCCCTGCCCTGGGCCATGGCTCTTGCTAACCCTACCAGCATCTAGTTTGATGAAGGGCGGGCTGACTTTCCAATGGATAAGGAGACTGGCCTGGACCTGGGGGATCTGTCCCGCTTCCTGGTCACACACAGCATGCACCTGGTCACAGAATTCAACCAGCAGGTAAGGTACAGGTGGGGCCAGTGGAAAGGGTCCATGGGAGCTGGAAGTCCCTAGAGTGGTGTGTGGGAAGGGACTGGGAGTTACAAGACCCCATTCTGCAGACATCCGAGAAGATCTATGCTGCTCGGATACTCAACCACTTACTGCTGTTTGTGAACCAGACGCTAGCCCCACACCGGGAGCTGCTGGCCAGTTTCAGGGAGGCAGCTCCCCCCTTCCGGGGGCAGGTAGGTCCTGGGGAACCAGGAAGGAGGAGCTACTGGGCATTGGGACATGCAACATGGACTCCCCACTGGCAGGTTCTGTTTGTGGTGGTGGATGTGGCTGCCAACAATGACCACGTGCTGCAGTACTTTGGTCTCAAGGCTGAGGAGGCCCCCACCCTGCGCTTGGTCAACATTGAGACCACCAAGAAGTATGCACCCACAGATGAGGGCCCTATCACTGCAGCGTCTGTGGCTGCTTTCTGCCACTCAGTCTTCAGCAATGAAGTCAAGGTCTGCTGCATGGTGGTCCACCCAGGGGCAGGGGAAGGAGGGGTGCAGTGCCCTAGGAGCCTGACCCTACAGAGCCCCCAGTAAAGCCCTGCTGTCTCCCAGCCCTACCTGCTAAGCCAGGAGCTTCCCCCTGATTGGGACCATCAGCCTGTTAAGATCCTTGTGGGCAAGAATTTCGAGCAGGTGGCTTTTGATGAAACCAAGAATGTGTTTGTGAAGTTCTGTGAGTGCCAAGGGCGGAGGGCAGTGGGTGGGGCAGGGAGGATGTGGCTGGTCAAGCCTGACACCCTCCTCAGATGCCCCATGGTGCAGCCATTGTAAAGAGATGGCCCCAGCCTGGGAGGCTCTAGCTGAGAGGTACAGAGACCATGAGGACATCGTCATTGCTGAGCTGGATGCCACAGCCAATGAGCTGGAGGCCTTTGCGGTGCACGGCTTTCCCACCCTCAAGTACTTCCCAGCAGGGCCAGGTCGGAAGGTGAGGCCTACTCAGGCAGCACACCTGGGAATTCTGGTCATGCTGTGGGGATTGCTAAACCTGCTAGGTCCTGTTCCTCCTCAGGTGATTGAATACAAAAGTGCCAGGGATCTAGAGACTTTCTCCAAGTTCTTGGATGCTGGCGGTGAGCTGCCTGTGGAAGAGGCCACAGAGAAGCCTGAGATGCCCTTCCTGGTGGGTGCCCAGGACACATCCTCAGACAGGGTGGGCTGGGACAGAACCCTGAGCTGAGCCTCTGACCTTTCTAGGAGCCACCAGCCAACTCCACCCTGGGGCCCAAGGAGGAGCTATAGTCACCCTGATGCATCTCCCTGAAGTCTTGGGGCACTGGAGGGAGCTATGTGCCATAAATAAAGAAAAGTTGGTCCTAGACTCTGTGTGGTTCCTGAGCAAGGCTGAGCTCTGGCCCTGTGTCAGCCACCTGGGACTGTTCCCTCTTGGATGCCCTCCAGCTGGGCAGGAAGGAAGCCCTACAGAGTGTAGCTGTGCCTCTGCCCTCTCTGCTGGCTGCTGCATACAAGACCCCCCAACCCTACCCCACACTAGTGTGACCTTTCATTCTAGGTTCGATGGCACACCCAGCAGCCAGGCCCCACTAGTCATACAGAAGTGCATACCATAGCCTAGGCAAGTTCAAAAACTTTTATTTATTATCCAAGTACCTTTGAAAAGATAATTGTACAAGTCATGGCATGAAAATTGGGCTTTGGGCAGCCCCCTGCTGGCCCTGGCCTGAGAAATGTACATATTTACATGGGCCCTTAGAAAGCAGGGACCCGGCCTGTTGAGCTGGAGGCTGGAGACAGGTGAAGGAAGAGCTGAGGCTTCATGGCCACTGGCTTCACACAGTGGCAGGCAAGAGACGAGCTGTGTTGAAGGCACTCGGTGACATGTACAATCTACAAAGGTCTCTGCAGGGCCCCCTGCACCAGGCCTGGGCCCGACTGGGTACAGTGGGTAAGTTCCACAGCATGCACGGCCTTCAGTAGGGGCTCCAGGCCACATGCCCTGCTCCGAGGACTCCAAGTATTGCTATGGGGTGGGTGGGGCTCCCATAAGACAGATGGCTGCCAGACCAGGTGAGGGACCCACCCACCCAGACACAGGCAGAGGGGGACACACCTGTGCCTTCCCAGGATCCATGTGACCATGCACAATATGAGCAGCTGTGCAGCCCTATGTCACCCCCACACAGCAGGCTACTGGATACAAGGTCACTGCTGGGCTGACACTGCTGTGTGCTGTAACATGTGTCCTAGGTGTGGCCACTTGCTGCTCAGTCCACTTTTTCCACCTTGCCAATGATCTTCTCCTCAAAAACAGGCAGCACAGCCTCATCTTCTCTCACTTCCTCAAACACCACTCCACAGTCAAATTCATCACTCACTTTCTTGAAATAGTATCTGGGGACAGAGAAGAGCCACAGAGGGTTAAGGTTAAGGATAGCCAGCCCCTGCTCTGTACTCAGGGAGAGACAGCTATTTGTTCCTGGGACCACTGTGCCCTGCCTAGTACCTGTTTGCTGGACTCACCTTGGGGATGTGACCACAGCCCCCTGAGAAGTGCTTGCAAACTCCTGGCACCCCTGCCCTGGATTCTAGGGTGCTGCAAGGGAGGAGTGGTGGCTACATGTGTGCCCCCACTTAGCCAGTGCAGTGCCCCAACTTACCATGGGCTGAATTCAGCAATCTTGGCCCTGTTCAGCACAACTGCCCTCTGACTTTCCTGCAAGGCTCCAGCTGCACTGGGGAAGGCTAGGCACCTGCTGTCTGGTCAAGACAGCATGTACATGGATCCATCTGTTTGGGACTGTTTCCCAAATTTTAAAATGGGGGCCCTGACAACACCTAGTCCCTACCTGCCCAAAGGGGAGAAGAGTCCAGGTCCACATAAAGATTAAAAGGGCAAGAAATGATCTCCTTTCATATGGACAGCATAGGTACCCCCTGGCTCCCTTCTCACCTGTAGCTGCCTTTCTTGGTCAGCAGCTCCTTGAACTGGCCCAGGGTGACTGCACGGCCTCTCACCAAAGTCCGGTACGGGATGGGTTCTCCACAGAAGTAGTAGGCCACCACAATGGTGTCACATGGCTGGGCACTCCCACTGCCCGTCTTCCTCTGTGATTTTGTCCTGGGTAGAGATAGCAGTGTTGGGGGGGGGGCATATCCCAAGCATGCCCCTTCCAAGCCTGTCCTCACAGGACAGGGCACCCAGGGTGACACCTATCATGACAAGACACAGTACCCACTGTGCCAATTTGGTGCCACATAGATAGCTGACTCCCTAGGGCATGTACCCTAGGAGCCCCAGGTCTGGCTGATCAGTGGCACTCCCCACCTGATTGTATGATGTGGGCACACAGCTTCTCCAGATTGTTAGGACAAGTTGCTAGCCCACATAGTCCTACCTCCAGAGACAAGGTGGCCCACCTGCCTATACCCTACTAAGATTGAGACTTAACCCTTCCAAGACAGGTACTGGAAGAACAAGGGCAGGTACTGGAGAACTAGGGCTGTGCACAGGGCTGAGTGAATTGCCAACAGGCCTCAGCCAGCCAGGCCCCTAGAGCTCAGTGAGGCCAGTGTTGCCTCATACCCAGATTGAGGGGCCCTGTCCTGACAGTTTGCATGGCCACCTAATGTCAGGACAGTAGTGTCCACCTGTCCTTCACATCTTTGTAACCCCAGAAGCCTCCCCAGGAACTAGGGCCCCGAGCAGGTGTGTACACCAGAAGTTTTCAGAGTCAACTTCGGGGCAGGAAGGCTACACAGGGGCTCCTCTCCCTTGATCCAGGCCCAGTGGGCCACCAGCAGTGTCCATCCACTTTGCACACCTGGCTCCCAGGCAGCTGCTTCCTAGTATTTCCCCTCAGAACTGCATCTTCAAAGCCTACCTGGCCTAGGGACCACTTCTGCAGAGAGCCAGGGGACAACTGAAGAGTACCCAAGATATACCTGGCTCAACTCTAAAGCACAAGAAGGGGGCAGTCAACAAAGTCCACAATCTAGACCCCGAGCAGCCCAACCATCTAGACACCACTGTAAGCAAGCAGTGCCGCAAGCTCCCTGGTGCCACTGCAAGGGCATCACACGCAGCCCACATCCCATTCAGAACTGGCACTGGCTCGTGATTCCTGGACTGGCGACCTCAGAAGGGAGAGGCAGAACAAAGGGCAGGCTGTGGTGCCTATGTGGACACCGGCTCTCTTATCATCACACCGGACGGCCATTGTTCCTTGAGGAGACAGGAGGGAATACTTGGGTGTCCGAGCTTATGTTCCAGAAGGGTTGCTCTACCTCAGGACCTGGCTTGGGCCAGGCTGGGCAGGCAGCACTGAGGGACCCTCAGGTGCACGTACTCTGTCTCGGAGAGCTCCAAGTCCGACACGGCTGGCACCACGCTCAGCACTGGCGTGCACGCTGGCCTGACACAGGCACGTCCCCGCTGCATAACCGCCTGCACGTACCTAGGGGACAACCCACATCAATGGGGAGAGGCCAGGCCAGTGCGCTGCAGGACCTCCCGCCAAGTGCTCCCACTCTATGAGGTGGCTAAGACACCAAACCCCTGCAAGGCCTTGGCTGGGTGACTCCATACGGCTCAGGGTACCCACACTTATTATCTGGGTTCTTTGGAACACACTTAGGGGAACTGTTGATCTAGGCGCTAGAAGCTGCCACTTCTAGGGTGGCTGACCTCTTCACCTTACAGAGGGCCTCTTGGAGAGCATCCATCTGTGCCCCTTTACTAGGGTGCGGTTCATTCTATTCAGCTCTCAGACATGAACTTTCTTTTTTTTTGTTGTTCCTTGAACGCCTTCAGGGCACTTTTGGCCAGCAGGCGAGTTGTGAGGTTCGAACTCCAGCAACCTGAGGCTGACAGCTTTGTGGAAGCAGCCACTTAAAGGCCTGAGCTAGGGCCAGGCCCCCTCAGACATGAACTTTCGAAGGACAATGTGGACAGCAGCTCTGGACGGTGTGTCGACAGCTCCACTTGCATCTTTGGGACCCCATACCACAAAAAGGCTCTTTTTTTATTTTATTTTTTTTTGGTGGGACTGGGGATCAAACTCAAGACCTCGCGCTTGCCAGACAGGTGCTTATGCCACTGAGCTATCTCTCTAGCCCCTGAGGCCTGTTCTGAGCTGCCTGAACAGCAAAGTCTTTCTATGTTGTCCTTTATCTGGGCATGTCACTGGGGATCCAGCACCCTACCTGCCTGGAGGTCTTTGTCCCATGAATCTGAAGCTGTTGACAAAAGCCCTAGTTCCCCAGATAAATGAATAACTTACTAACCAGGTTTCCCACAAAAGCCAGCTGCTGAAACCTAGGCAGAGAACCGTGTCCCAAAATACGCAGCGCAGAAAAGTTCTCACGGATCAGCACATAATGCAACACTACCTGCCCCAAAGGGCCTAACAGGCCAGTGGGACGGGTTAGGCAAGCCCCACCCTCAAGGCATCCTCTGCCCTGATCACTTCAGGCCCTGCCCATCTTCCCAAGTCCCACAGTGATGTCCCTCTCCAGTGCTCTGGGCCCTTTAGACCACAGGCTCCTGCCAAATGTGCAGTTTTTTTTACTGAGGGCAGGCAGGAGATACCCGGTGGCAAAGAAGTTATCCCCAGATTCCTTTTTAAAATTATAACCTTTTTTGGCCCCAAATCCTGTGCAGATTGATCTTGGTGTTGTCTGTGATGACCTGCACTGGCTGGGGACATGTTCAGGCCTCTGCTGTGCTGAGCCCAAGGAGGTCCCACATACTGACACCAGTGCAGCTGACCAGGGCCACACAGCATGCTGGACCCTGAGAATTGGGTCAGACCCAGATTCTAGACCTCAGATGACTCAAGATGGTTGAAAGCAGCCAGCAACTTCCAAGGGAACTGGTGGATGGCATGTGACCATGTTCCCAGGGACTGAGACCCAGATCTACTAGGGAATTTCAATGAACCAGCAAGTCCCTCAGACTGACTTCAAAGCCCAGACAGGGTAAGAAGCCACATTCTGGTCTGGACAGAAACTGCTGCCACCTGGAAAAGGAGGTGTGTCAGTGGTCTAGGCACAATGCACTCCTCTAGGGGACAACAGGGTCTGCTCCGAACTGTGGCAGCAGTGGGTCAGGCTGAGGCCCTGAAGGCCAAAGAGGGCAAAGGAACAAAGGCTGGGGCCTAGAATCTGCCCAGGAAGTTTTACACCTCATATATTTCAGCACCCTCCATGGGCTTTCAACAAAGGCAGTCAGGACACTCTAGAATGGCCAACAGGCTCAGCACACCCAGAAGTTGCTGACAACCTGACTGTAACTGGCTCCACCCACCACACGTGATTTTGCAG